AGTGATTGAATTTACAACACATAAGGAAATCACATGAGATTATAAAATGGTACACAGTTATACAATACTGGGAATCCTGACCCAGCCAAGTTGACAGATATTTTTGGGGGACACAATTCAATCCATGAAACTCAAGCATCGGCGCCACAGAAGACAGGCCAGGTGATCTGCTTCCATAAACATTATAGCCAAGAAAACCATACAGAGCAGTTCTACTGTGACGCACATGGGGTCGCCATGAGTCAGAATCTACTTAATGGCAATGGATTTGAGTTTTGGGTTTTAAAGGGCAGAAGTAACTCCCAGTTCAGAGATCTTTCATTCAGGCCAGACTGGTTCTCAGAATCAGCCAGGGCTGGTTGCCCAGGCAGTTGACCTGTGTAGACACCCAGGGCAGTGTGCTCAGAACCCACACTTGGTTTAATGCTCTGCTGTTGCCATCTTGGATTTGCTGGGTGGTGCAAATATTGAATGTTCTTGACGGCTAACTGGAAGACTAGAAGTTTGAGTCCACCTAGAGGCACCTTGGAAGAAATGTCTGGCAGTCTACTTCAGAAAAGTCAGCCACTGAAACACCCTATGGAGCACAGTTCTACTCTGACACACATGGGGTGGACGTGAGTTGGAGTCGACTCGACAGTAACTGGTAGTGATGGTCACCATCTTGAAATCCTTAATCTCAGAACCAGGGGCCCCACACTCATTTTGCACTCGGTCCAGCAATCAGCACGTGAATTCCAAGAAGAAACGTTGATAGTGGTTCCAATTATGTACCAAACTGGGGACTAACCGCTCAGTCCAATGCCGTGTTCTTTTACTAATCATGGTGATTTCATAAAGTCAAGCAAACTTGGGTTCAAATCCTGATGCTCTTAACATCTACGAGCCACAGGACATCATACCCATTGCTACTTAACCTTGCTGAGCTTCTATTTCCCCAGTTATGAAACGAGAGAATTGAACTGAGCTGGGGGTTCTCAACCTTGGCAGGCTACTGAAGTCACTGGAGGAGGAGTGCTTGAAAAATGCTCATGCCTGGGCCCCACCCCAGACATTTTGATTCAATTGGTCTGGGGTGGAGCCTGAGCCTGGGGGAAGAAGGGATTTAAAAGGCCCCAGGTGAAAGCAGAGACTCTAACAGGTACTTGTAAACCAAAGTCCATAGCAGCAATATTCACAATAGTCAAAAGGTGGAAACAACCCAAATGCCCATCAACAGATGAATGGATAAACAAAATGTAGTCCACCCTCACAACGGAATTAAGCCTTAAGAAAAAATGAAGTCCTCAATGATAAAGAACAATGAAGAATCTGCAAAACATCTCACAACATGGATGAATCTGGAGGACATTATGTTAAGTGAAATAAGGCAGTCACAAAAGGACAAATATTGTATGAGACCACTATTATAAGAACACAAGAAAAGGTTTAAACACAGAAGGAAACATTCTTTGATGGCTAGGAGGGTGGGGAGGAAGGGAGAGGGAAATTCACTAACTAGATGGTAGACAAGAATCACAATACAGGGGAAGTCAGCACAACCGGACTAAACCAAAAGCTAAGAAGTTTCCTGAAAACAACCAAACACTTCAAGGGACAGAGTAGCTGGGGCTGGGGGCTGGGGACCATGGTGTCGGGGGACATCTAGGTCAACTGGCATAACAAAGTTTATTAAGAAAATGTTCTGCATCCCATTTTGGTGAGTGGCATCTGGGGTCTTAAAAGCTTGTGAGTGGCCATCTAAGATGCATCAATTGGTCCCAGCCCACTTGGAGCAAAGGAGAATGAAGACCACCAAAAACACAAGGAAGACATTAGCCCAAGAGACAAATGGGCCACATAAACCAGAGACTCCATCAGCCTGAGACCAGAAGAACTAGATGGTGCCCGGCTACCACCAATGACCACCCTGACCGGGAACACAACACAGAGCTCCTGGGAGCGGGAGAAAAGTGTGGAGCAGAACTCAAATTCACATAAAAAGACCAGACTTAATAGTCTGACTGAGACTGGAGGAACCCCTGAAGCCATGGCCCCCGGACACTATGTCATCCCAGAACTAAAACCATTCCTGAAGACCACTCTTCAGACAAAGATTAGATTGACTATAAAACAAAATAATACTTGTGAAGAGTGTGCTTCTTGGTTTAAGCAGATATACGAGACCGAATGGGTGGCTCCTGTCTGGAGGCAGGATGAGAAGGCAGGAGGGGACAGGAGCTGGTTGGATGGACATGGGAAACCTGGGGTGGAAAGGAGGAGTGTGCTGTCACATTGTAAGGATTGCAGCTAATGTCACATGACAATGCATGTATAAAATTTTGTATGAGAGATTAACTTGAGCTGTAAACTTTCACCTGAAGTACAATAAAAAAAATAAAGAAAAAATGAAGTCCTGATAGATGCTATACATGGATGAACCTCAAAAACATTATGCTCGCTGAAAGAAGCTAGGCACAAAAGGACAAATGTTGTATGATCTCACTTATATAAAATTTTTAGAATAGGCAAATGCATAGCAACAGGAAGTAGAATAGTGATTCCAGGAGGAGGAGGGAGTAGGGAAATGGGGAGTTATTGCTTAATGAATAGAGTTTCTGTCTGGGGTGATGAAAAAGCTTTAGAAATGGACAGTGGTAATGGTTGCACAACATTGTGAATGTAACTAATCCCACTAAATTGTACATTTAAAAATGGTTAACATGGTAAATTTTGTTATATATTTTTTTAACCAGAAAAAAGAAGCCCCCAGAAGCTTCAAATGTGCAGCCAAGGTTGAGAACCACTAAATCTTCTCAGCCTTCAGGAATTTTCAGAAACCTTCAGGCTCCCATACTTCTAGCTCAGATGATTTACTCCTGCAGGAATCTCCTGACCCCTCATCCTGGTCTCCCGGCATTAGGACCTTCATGCCCAGGAGGGTCCTGCCTTCCACTGCTTCGGGTTCTGCAGGTCTCTGGGCAGCGTAAACAGTTTGCGCTCGGCTACTTACCTAAAGATTATCAGTTCAAACTCAGCGGCACCGTGAAAGAAAGCCCTGGCCGTCTGTTCCCGTAAAGATTAAAGCTAAGAAAACCCTATGGAGCAGTTCTACTCTGTAACACATGCAGTTGCCATGAGTTAGAATCCACTGGATGGCAAGGGGGTTGGTTTGGTTTTCGTGGATTCTGCACTGGCCTGGGGGCCTTGCCTGAGCCACCAGGTCTACCCCAGACAGGAAACACAGCCCAGTGTCCACTCTAAAACAATACAAAACTTATTTTGCTTTGCAAAGTGGCTGCTTTCCCGAACAGCTTTTAAAGACACAGACTCTGGCATGTAGGTAGGCGAAAAAAAAAAAGAACAAAAACGCATGGGAAGGAGAGTATCATCCTCTTTGCTAAGACCAAGCATTATATCTATAACTACATGGGTACAGATGCGTAGGAAGGGGTCTAGAAGGGTGGCCACCTTCGATGTTAACTATACGTAATTATCTTTTTCCCTTTGTGCTTTTCCGGGTTTTTTTCTGTGAATAAACCTGAGCACCTATTTTTATCATCTGAAAAAAAAGGCTATTTTTGTACAGAGAAAAGAATACAGAGATAATGTACATCTAAGATGGAGAAAGGGTCCCATAGTTGTGGGTTGACTGGTCTTTTTTCCAGGGCTAAATGCTACCATTCATTTAGTCAGTGTGCTAGAATAAGTAAAATACTATGAGATGAAGAGAAACATTTGCTCCTGGGAACCTTGCACAAAAATAGAACACAGTCTAAGGAGGTCATTAATCCTCATTTTGGAAATGTTTATAAAAATCCAGAAGCAGGGTCTCCTCTCCTGAAAGTCCCCAGTGGAGGTCTAGGGCAGGAGGAGGAGGCTGACCCCAAGTCACCCTGCCCTAGGGTGGGCTCCATTCCGTCTAAGTGTAAAGGATCCACCAGGGCTGGAGGAATTCATGCCAGGGTGCAGAGATCCAGCGGCCAGGGGGGAAGGGAAGGAAGGGGAGGGCGCCCACAGCGGGGTGGGGACACCGGTGTCACTTTCCCTGAACTGAATCGAAGCCCCCAGCGTAGCCAGACCTTATATAGACACCCAGCTGTCGCTCCCTCTCTGAGCGCCAAGGACAAGAGAAAGGAGAGAGGTCACGGCTAGGGGGGACCAGGACATCTGCTGACCCCCCGCCCGCGCCCTTGCCAAGACATGCACCCCCAGCCCGTGTGCGCGCGGTCATCCCCGCCAGGACCCCCCGACCTTTGCCCTCACCCTCAGCACCTGTTCCCCGTCTTTTGAAAACACTCCTCCATTTCCCTCCGCCCGCACCTGCTCCCCCTCCCGAAGCCCCTCTGGCCCGGGAGCTTCTCCCCTCGCCCCCCCAAAGTCTCCTCCAGCCCACGCCCCGCAGGGGAGCACCCTGAGATGCCAGCGCCGCCTACTCAACCAAACCAGAACCAGTCCCTGGGCACAGGCGTAACGAGGAAGGATGGGGGTGGGGGGTGGAGGGGGACACTTGCCCCTGGCACAAGTCCAAGGGGGCTCCTCCAGACGAGGTGCAGAATGACATTCCAAGGTGCCACAAATATGAAAGGTGCCTGACTCAGGGGGCTGGACAAGAGGCGAGAAGGTGTTTCTGCTGACGTTTAACGGCTATCAACGTCTACTCATCTTGAAACTGGGGGGGGGGGGGCACAATATAGAGATTACCCCGGGCGCTGGAATTGGGGGGGCGCGACTTAGAGATTGTCCCTGGACGCTCGTTACCCTCACTACTGCCCCTGTCCCTGGGTCTCCCCACCTCCATTCTCTCTGGACCCCCGGGTTGACCCCCAATCCTGTCCCCTCGGGTTTACTCCCGCCCTCCCCGCCTCCAGCCCACGCCCGAGGGGGCGAACTCCACGATGCCAGCGCCGCCTCCTCCCCCGAACCAGCCCCTTGGTCGCCCCCCCCCGAGCCCCCCGGCAGTCCCCCATCCCATCCCCCGCTCCCCATGCCAGCCCCTCCACGCCCCCAGCTCAGCTCACCTGGCTCATACTTGAGGTAGAGAATGGAAACGATGAAGTAGCTGAGGTCGAAGACCGGAAAGAGCGGCACCCGCGAGAAGCTGAGCGCCAGCTCGCCTAGGCTCAGCGCCGACAGCAAATCCATGGCGCCCGCGCGCCGGGTCCGACCCCGGCCCCCGGTCCGGCTCTGCGTCCCGCAGCCGCAACTGCGCCCCCGCGCAGGGCCCGCCCCACCGCCAGGCACCGCCTCGGCCCGGCCCCCGAGAGGAGGGGCGACGGCCTGCCTTACAGCCCCGGTCCCTTGGCCACCGCGACCCCATTCAGCCCAGCGAGGCGGACTGCGGGCCCCCAGTGTTGGGTGAGTCGACCGGGGCGGCAGTCCATTCTGGGGGCCTGTCCCGCAAGGAGCCCACCCACTCGGGACTCCTGTACCCGTGGGTTCGGTAAGGACACCTGTTCCCTGTGGGACCCAATCCATCTGGATCCCCGCCTCTATGGGGCTCGGTCCCCTGTGAGACCCGCTCCGTCGGGACCACCGTCCCCGTGGGTTCTGTGGGTAAGAATCCTCATCGTCTACGGAGCTCAGTTGGGACCATCGTCCTCCGTGGAACTCCACAAGTCACGATCGCCGTCCCCCGAGGGACCCGTGGGAGTCGCTCGGTGGGGACCCCCATCCCCTGTGGGACTCACTCGGTCCGGACCCCAGTTTCCCGTGGGTCCCGCTCGGTCGGGACCCCTGCACCCACAGCGACCCGCTTGATGGATGCTCCCGTCCCCCGTGGGGCCCGCCCGTTGGAGACACCCGCCCCTGGTGGGCCTGCACCGTCGGGGACTCCTTCTTCTTCTAGAGTACAGTCAGTCGGGGCATCCTGTCGTGGGATGCCCACTGCGTCAGGACCCTCGGCCCTTGTGCAGCTCCGCGGCGGGGGCTCCATTTCTCTAGAAGCCCAACCGGGATTCCCAGCAGGGGAGAAGGAACCTCCTCTGCCCTCATTCTCCGCCCGCTGGACCATCACGCATGCGCGGCTCGCTTCTAACGCGAGGCCCAACCCCGCCCCAGGTGGCTCCGCCCTTAGGTGTCGTCACATTCTAGCCCCGCCCTTCCCGTGGCGCTGCCCGTCTCCCAGCTAGGAGGAGCTTCGCTTTCGCCTAAGGAAGCCTGGCTTGCAGGGGGCGGGACCTTGCCTGCCTCTGCCTTCGATTGGACCAGCCCTCGCGAGCGTTGTTTCGAGATTGGTCGACTCCTGCCTCTTCCTTCCCTCTCCCGAGCTCCCGCTTCCGGTTCTGACGGACCCTTCGGTCGTAACGATGATCGGGGACATCCTGCTGTTCGGGTAATTGGGGGCCCAGGGACTGGGGAGAGAGAGCCAGACAGGGCGCGGGGTGGCTCCGGTAACTGCATTCTCCCTCCGCAGAACGCTGCTGATGAACGCCGGGGCGGTGCTCAACTTTAAGCTGTGAGTAGGCAGCGCTGGGCCGGGGCCCCGCTTGGGGAACCCGTAGCCCTGCCCCCGCATGCGTGAACCCGCCCCACCTCACAGCCCCGCCCACAGCCCAGGCCCCGCCCTCATCTCAGCCCCGCCCCGGGAACACGCCTTCTGGTCTTGCCTTCCTCCTGTTTGTCCTCCTGTGACCCTCCCCGCGCCTCCACCTTTCCAAATCCGACTCTCCGTTCCCCAGACAGCCTCAGACCTTTCCCCCAACAGAGCCCCCTCAATTCCGCCCAGAAAACTTTTATCCCTATACCGACTCTCTGTCCACCACCTTGTCGCTTATCGGCAGCATAGATGGTCGTCTAGAGAGGGTCATTGTGCCACCCGCGGTCGCACAGGAGGTTAGCGGCTGGGCCAGAGCTGCACCTGCGTCTCCAGGGGAGACACCTGAGCCAGGTGTCAGGGCCAGGGGAGTGCACGGCCCTTATGTCCCATTGAAAGTGAACAGTATGTGCTCCTCTTTGTAGGAAAAAGAAGGACACCGCACAGGGCTTTGGGGAGGAGTCGCGGGAGCCCAGCACAGGTAAGGCCTCCTCCCTTCTAGTCCTTGTGGCTGCCAGCACTCCCACCTGGGGGCCCTGGAATTACACCGTCCATTTTGGGAAGGACAGTTCTTTCTCACCAAGTCCAGCCCTCATTTGCTTTTTAATTTGTGTGTGTGTGTGTGCGCGCGCGTGTGCGCGTGCGTGCATGTACATGTACACGTGTGAGGTCCCTGGGTGACGCAAATGGTTTGTGCTTGACTATGAATCGAAAGGTTGGTGGTTTGAACCCACCCAGCAGTGAGACAGAAGAAAGTCCTGATGGTTGGCTTCCCTGGATTAAAGCCAAGAAAACCGTATGGAGCACAGTTCTCTGTAACACATGGGGTCACCATGAGTCACAGTTGACTTGATGGCAACAGGAAACAGGGCAGAAGACAGAGCTAACACCAGGTAGAGTTTGAGAGAGACAGAAGGGATGTTCTGGGGGGGGGAAGAAGCTACTATTATTGTTAGGTGCCATCAAGTTGGTTCCATCTCTTAGCAACACTATGTACAACAGAATGAAACACTGCCTGGTCCTGCACAATCCTCAGAATTGTTGCTATTTGTGAGCCCATTGTTGCAGCCACTGTGTCAATCCATCTCATTGAGGGTCTTCCTCTTTGTCGCTGACCCTCTACTTTACCAAGTGATGTTCTTCTCCAGGGACTGCTCCTTCCTGATAGCATGTCTTCTAAGGAGCATTCTGGCTATCTTTCTTCCCAGACAGATTGGTTTGTTCTTCTGGTAGTCCATGGTATATTCAGTATTCTTCGCCAGCACCACAATTCACATGTATCAACTCTTCTTCGGTTTTCTTTATTCATAGTCCAGCTTTCACATGCATATGAGGCGACTGAAAATACTATAGCTTGGGTCAGGCACACCTTAGTCCTCAAAGTGACATCTTTGCTTTTTAACACTGGAAAGAGATCCTTTGCAGCAGATTTTCTCAGTGCAGTATGTCATTTGATTTCTTGACTGCTGCTTCCATGGGCCTTGATGTGGATCCAAGTAAAATGAAATCCATGAAAACTTCAGTATTTCCTCTGTTTATCACAATGTTGCTTATTAGTCTGGTTGTGAGAACCTTCGTTTTCTTTATGTTGAGGTGTAATCCATACTGAAGGCTATAGTCTTTGATCTTCATCAGTAAGTGCTTCAATTCCTCTTCAGTTCAGCAAGCAAGGTTGTGCCATTTGCATATCCCAGGTTGTTAATGAGTCTTCCTGCCTCTTAGTCTATGTACAGGTTCTGCATGAGCACAATTAAGTGTTCTGGAATTCCCATTCTCCACAGTGTTATCCATAATTTGTTATGATTCACACAGTCGAATGTCTTTGCATAATCAATAAAAACTAGGTAAACATCTTTCTGGTATTCTCTGCTTACAGCCAAGATCTATCTGACATCAGCAGTGATAGTTCTTGTTCTATGTCCTCTTCTGAAATCTGGCAGTTCCCTGTTGATATACTACTGCAGCTGCCTTTGAATTATCTTCAGCAAAATTTTACTTGTGTGTGATATTAACAACAGTTGATAATTTCTACATTCTGTTGGCTCACTTTTCTTTGGAATGGGCACAGATAAGGATCTCTTTCAGTCAGTTGGCCAGGCAGCTGTCTTCCAAATTTCTTGGGATAGAAGAGTAAGCACTGCCAGCGCTGCATTCATTTGTTGAAATATTTCAGTTGGTATTCTGTCAATTCCTGGAGCTATGTTTTTTGCCAATGCCTTCAGTGCAGCTTGGGCTTTTTCCTTCAATACCATAGGTTCTTGATCGTGTGCTACTTCCTGAATTGGTTGAACGGGGACCAGTTCTTTTTGGTGCAATGACTCTTTGTATTCCTTTCATGTTCTTTTGATGCTGCCTGAGTAATTGAATATTTTGCCCATAGAATTCTTCAGTATTGCAACTCGAAGCTTGAATGTTTTTCTTCAGTTCTTTTAGCTTGAGAAATGCCGAGCATGTTCCTCCCTTTTGGTTTTCTAACTCTAGGTTTTTGCACATTGCATCATAATACTTTAGTTTGTCTTTTTTGAAATCTTCCGTTCATCTCTTTTACTTTATCAGCTATTGTGCTTGGTGCGATTTGTGGGAGATAAGACTCCCTTCCATGCAGGAAAGCTGCGTTCGATTTCTGACCAGTGCACCTCACGTGCAGCCACCACCTGTCTGTGGAGGCATGTGTGTTGCTATGATGCTGAACAGGTTTCAGGGAAGCTTCCAGACTAAGATGAATTAGGAAGAAAGGCCTGCAGATCTACTTCTGAAAACCAATCCTAATGGTCTGATCCACAAGCAATCATGGGGGTGGCGCAGGACTGGACAGTGCCTGGGATTGCCATGAGTTGGGGGTTGACTTGATGGCAGAGAGTTTAATTTTTGGTTTTGTGTTGTGTGTGCTAGGCTTGAGAATGTACTGTTCCTTCTGTCCATCCCTGTCCCCACTTTGTCCCGCCAGGTTTCCCCAGATAAGTCAGCAGTTACTTCTCATCCTACAGTTGTAATTTTCTTTCTGGTTGCCGTTATCTGGCTAACGTCTGCTCTCACACTTGACCATAAACCCAGAGAAGAGGCCTGAGACTTTCAGGCTGCCAGTCCTGGCACTCCAGCATGCCGGAATGAATGAATGAATGAACGAACGAACAAACAGCCTCAAAAGCAGCTATTGCTTTTGGTGTGATGGACTGATGGATAGATGCAGACCTGTTTTTGGCCTACGTGGTGTCATTTTTTTTATTTTTTTAATTAAAAAAACCAAACCCGCTGGCATCCCGTCGACTCCGAGTCATAGTGACCCCACGTGCACAGAGTAGAACTGTCCCTTAGGGGTTTCTTGGCTGTAATCGCTACGGAAACCGATTGCCAGGCCTTTTCTTCTGCCTTGCTGCTGGATGGGTTCAAACCGCCAACCTTTTAATTAGTAGACAAATGCAAACCATTTGTGCCATCTGTTAGATGTCAACATTGCTAGACTTTGAATAAATTGTGACTCCCGCCCTGATTGAAAATCAGGTGTCTGGTTTTTCTTGGAAGATTGGAACATCCTGAAGGCCAGCGTTCAGGTAACCTTTTGGCAGCTGTTGAATGGGGTTGAGAAGCAGAACCCCTTCTAGCAGGGCCAGGGGCCTCTGCCTCACCTCAGGTCCCACCCCCTCATATTCATACATCTCACTGCCTGGCCCTTGGAGGCCCTGGAATTTGCACCACCTGATGAGTTGATTCCTGTGACTGTTTGGAGTCTGATGAGACCTGTTCGTGACTGTTGTGTCTATTCACTCATTTATTCATTTGCCAAATGCTTATTGAGAACCTACTAAATGCTGGCCACTGGGTGGGATGCTAGGGGCACAGCGGGGAATAAGACAGTGTCCCTTCCTGTGGGACTCGCCACGGAGGGGCAGACATTTCCAGGTGGGGTAAGTGCTGACGAGGAGTAACAGGATGGTGAGGGGGTGCCACTCTGACTTGGGTGTGCCAAGGGAAGCCTTCTCTCAGCAGGCGGTGTCATAGCCCAGGCGTCCGTGCCACCATGAAGCATTATACAAGGGTTACTGAACCCTGAGGGGACTGTCAAACAGCAGCCATCTCCTGGGGCCCTGCTGTGTTAGATGCCTCTTATGGGTGTTTCATCCAGTCTCCTGGCCCTGAAAGGAAAGGGTCGTCTTCCCATGCTCATAGCCACGCGGCAAACCAGTAACAGTTGGGGTTCTAATGTGGGTCTTCCTGGTCCAAGAGGTTGTACTCAACCACTAGACCGACTAACCAACCCTTCATTCATTAATCTGTTCATTCAGCAGCTATGTATTTTTGTTGTCAGCTGCCATTGAGTTGGCCCCGACTCAGGGTGACTCTGTGCACAGTGAAATGAAATGCTGCCCAGTCCTGTGCCATCATGATCGGTTTGGTTTGGGCCATTGTGATTCATAGGGTTTTTACTAGCTAATATTTGGAAGTAGAGTGCCAGGCCTTTCTTCCTTATCCATCTGAAGCTCTGCTGAAACTGGTTTGGCATCACAGCAACACACATTGCTATGTACTGCCTATCTACCATACTGTGTGGGAGACTCTATTCCAGGCCCTGGGGCTGCATCCTCCAGGTCTGAATCAGAGCTGTGGTGGGTGGGAGATCGAACATAAAGGCTGGGAGGCGACAGGAGCCCATTTAGTGACAGGGGTGGCCAGCATGGGGGCTGTGCCTTGACACTGGGCTCCGCAGGCCCTCCTGGCTAGGCCTTTTTTCAGCATGTTGTGTTCTCCTGCAAGGTACTTTCTGGTATCTGGTCAGGGGAACGCTGCTCCTCCTTCTGTTCTGTCTTCTTGGTCCAACTGGCTCTTCCTGCCTTAGCAGCTACATTTGTGGAGCACCCCTGTGTGTGAGTACTGTGCTGAGGTCTTCTCAGCAGCCTGGCACCCCCACTACACAGGAGAAAACCCAGGCATGCAGAGGCCAAGGCCTGGCTCAGGGCCCCTGCACGGAAGGGCAAAGCTGGGCTTTGAGCCCACATTTCAAGGTCTAGCTTGTGGGGTCCTCAGAGAGACTTCTTCTGATTCCCATCTCTGACACACACCCTTGATCGGATCCCGCAGTGTAGGCTGTTACAGCACCCTGAACTTTTCCATCCTAGAGGGCATCGTGGGGAGTAACCACGTGTGTGATTTGTTCTCTAGCATTTGTCATTCCTGTGAACTCCTGAAGGGCAGGGCATCTATCTTATTCCTCCCTGTGTCCCCAGCACTGGCTGCTGCCTGGGACTGGGGACCTCAGTCAGCATCTGTCAGTGGCAGGGGATCCCGTTTACCAACCCTGGGCCTGGGGAGGGAGTCCCTGGGTGGTGCAAGCAGTTAATGCACTCACTGGTAACCAGAAGGTTGGAGGTTTGAGTCCACCCAGAGGCACATCAGAAGAAAGGTCTGGCAAATTACTTCTGAAAAGGCAGCCATTGAAAACCCTATGGAACACAGTTCTAATCTGACATGCAGTGGATTGCCAAGAATCAGGATCAGCTCAGTAGCAACGTATTTGTTTGTGTCTCACAAAATATTTTCTTTAATAATTGAAAAATGTAAAAACCATTCTTATCTCACAGGCCATACAAAATCAGGCAGCAAGCCACATTTGGCCCATGGGCTTTGGTTTGCCAACCCTTGCTGAGAGAACTGAGCTTATATCCTCCCAGCTCAGGAAGCCTGGCAGAAAGCAAATGCCTCTTTCATAGCAGCTGGGGCAAAAGCCCCAGGGCTGGCTCTCACTGGACAGGCTTGGGTCACATGTCCCTCCCTGAGCCAGTCAAGGGCTGGGGGCTTGGTGTTCTGTGGGTGGGTGTCAGTGGCACTCAAGGCCTGTGCACTGAGGGTGAGGATGTTGTGGAGGCCCAGAGGAGAAGCTGGGGCACTGGGCACCAAGTGGGCAGAAACCGAGGAGACCCACAGAGGCCGTTACAGCAGAAACGCCAGCCATGTTATAAAAGTGTCTTTTTACTTTTCAGGTGACAATGTGCGGGAGTTCTTACTGAGCCTCAGATACTTCCGGATCTTCATTGCCCTGTGGAACATTTTCATGATGTTCTGTATGATCGTGTAAGTCTGTTGTTCACTTCCCGAGTGTCTTTCTCCAGAGTGGCCTAACCGGATGGTTGTTGTATCACACTTCTTGTTTTCAAAGTAATAGCTCTCCCAGTGAGTGAGGAGACCGAGGGCCCGCAGGGGTTAAACCACGTTGCCACGGTCCTATGGGCCAGGCCAGAGCTCTGGCTGGGACAGGGTGTTCTCGGAGGCCTGCCTGTGTCAGGTGCCTTGTCAGGCGCTGGCCAGAGACACCTTCTCTTAGTCCATGACCCGGTCACCTCACACCAGTATGGGACATGTGGCTTACACGGCCAGTGCACCGTGGTGTCCTGCTTCAGCCCTGCTGCAAAGCAGCAGAAACTATTCAGACTTTATTTTCATTCCCACACCTGTTTTCATTTACGCATTAGGCAAAAAAAAAAAAAAAAGCCCCAGTAGTTTGGTTTGGGGGCTGTGGTGGTGTGGGAGACCCAGGTTCAATTCCTGGCCACTGCACCTCATGTGTAGCCCCTACCCGTCTATCAGTGGAGGCTTGTGTGTTGCTGTGATGATGAACAGGTTTCAGTGGAGCTTCCTGGCTAAGCGGATTAGGCAGAAAGGCCTGGCAATTAGCTTCCGAAAATTAGCCAGTGAAACTGTTACGGATCACAATGATCTGCTCTGCAACCAGTTGAACGACACAGGATAGGGCAGCGTTATGTTCCACCGTGCATGGGGTTGCCATGACTTGGACGAAACTCAACGGCAAGTTTTTTCAACTGGTGGATAAGGAGGAGTCCCCCAAGGAAGGCCTCTGCTGGGGAGGCAGTGACTTGCTTTCCCAGGATGTTGAAAAACTGCAAACCACCTAAATATCCAAAAACAGGGGAAGGGTCAGGTAACTTGAAGGACACCTGTTTGACCAGCCGTCATGTCACCATGACTGATGATGTTCTGGAAGGTTCTTTCTGCAGGTGAAATGTTTTAAAAGTAAAAAGGGCTGGATAACACCTGTATGCATAGCCTGAGCTCAAATGAGTCTTGCTGTCAGTAAATGTGGAATAAATATTGAATGAGTGCCTGAACGATGTGAGGGAAACACTGCTCTGTGAAGGTGTTGGATCTGCTCCAGATAGTTCATGGAGGTGACTATCCTGCCATTGCTGAGGAAGCTGGTGGAGCTTGGGGATGGTTCATTTTTCCCTGCGTCCACTTCTGTGCTGTTTGACCTGAACTACTGTGGGAATTTGTTGTTGTTACCTGCCATTGAGTCACTCCCCCCCAACCCCAACTCTTGGTGACCCCATGCACGATGGAACAAAATGCTTCCTGGTCCTGCACCATCCCCACGATTGGTTGCAGATAAAACCATTGTGATGCGTAGCAATTTCATTGGCTAATTTTCAGAAATAGATCACCAGGGGTTTCTTCCTACTCCATCTTAGTCTGAAAGCTCCACTGAAACCTGTTCAGCGTCATAGCAACGTGGACAGATGGGTGGTGGCTGCGCATGAGGTGCATTGGTTGTGAATCGACCCCAGGTCTCCCACATGGAAGGGGAGAATTCTACCACTTAACCACCAATGCCTCATTTTGGAAATTTAAAAGTCATGAAAAACTTTAAAATGAAATGCGGGGAGAAACATGTCGGAGTGTTTAAGGATGAAGTATATTGACGTCTGCAAGTATTTTGAAACATATCAGAAAATAAAGTGGAGGATGGGTGGATAGATTCATGATAAAGTGTTAGTTGCAGAATCTAGGTGGTGTGTATGTGGGTGTTCACCAAACTCTTAACTCTTCTATGTGTTGAACTTTCCGTAATAAAATATTTGGGTGGAAGGTAGGGAGAAAATGAGGGTGTCAAACCATGGAGAAGGATTTACAACCAAAAAGTGGAAGTCTGTCTTTACAATTCAATGCTTTTCAATATATAATCAAATTCCAGAATATTCTCAACATCCCAGACAGAAACCCTGTACCCATTAGCAGTCATTCCCCATTCTTCCTTACCCCGTCTCTGGAAGTCATTAATCTCTCTCTTCTGAGTATTTCACGTAAATAGAATCACACAGTACGTGTCCTTTTGTGTTTGGCTTATTTCATTCAGCATAATTTTTCTTGGTTCATCCATGTCATAGCACGTATCAGGACTTCATTTTTGTTTGTGACTGAGTAATATTCCATTGTATAGATGGTCCACATTTTGTTTATCCATTTGTCTGTTGATGGACATTGTAATGTTTCCATTTTTGGCCATTATGAATAATGCTGTTATGAATGTGTACAAGTTTTCTTGTGGTTGTATATTTTTCATTTCTCTTGGGTATGTACCTAGGAGTGGAATTCCTGTCATGGTAACTCTGTGCTTAACTTTTTGAGGGACTGCCAGGCTGTTTTCCAAAGCAGCTACATTTTAGATCACCTTGACCAATGTAGAAGGGTTCCAGCTTCTCTACAGCTTCACCAACATTTATTATTGTCCATCTTTTCCATTATAGCCATCCTAGTGGATGTGAGGTAGTATCTCATTGTGGTTTTGATTCGCATTTCCTAAATGACTAATGTTGTTAGCATCTTTTGATGTACTTATTGGCCATTTGTGTATTTTCTTTGGAGAAATGTCTATTTAGATCATTTGCCCTTTTTTATTGGGTTATTTTTCTTCTCATTATTAAGTCAAGAGTTCTGTCTATATCCTGGATACCAGTTTCTTGTAAAATATATGACTTGCAAATATTTTCTCCCATTCTGTGGAGCATCTTTTTAGTTTCTTGATGGTGTCCTTTGAAGCACACAAGTTTTTAATTTTGATGAAGTCTCATATCTGTTTTTTTTCTTCTGTTTCTTGTGCTTTTGGTATCATATCTAAGAAACCATTTCCAAATCCAGAGTCATGACGTCTTGCTCCTATGTTTTATTTTAAGAGTTTTATTGTTTTGGCTCTTATATTTAGGCTTTTGATCCAGTTTGAGTTAATTTTCATATATGGTATGAGGTAAGGATTCACCTTTCTTTTGCACGTGGAGATCCAGCTGTCTCAGCATCATTTGTTGTCATTTTGGAAATAAACCTTTTATTCTGGAATGATCTTAGATTTGTAGAAAAGTGGCAGAGATAGTACAAAGAGTTCCAGTACTTTCTTTTTAACAGAAATTGGTTTTCCACTGTGGAGCTGAGTCATAACTTAGGTACCCATTCTCTGACCTGATGGACATTTATATCGTTTTCAGGTTTTTGCTCTTCCAGATTTTTCTTCAATGAGCAGAGTTACCTTGAAAAAAAAAACAATTATTTGCTTATTTAAAGTCCTTTTTTATTTATGAAGTCACTGTTGATATGAGGTAATAGAAAATGGCCTAAAATGGTATAGGTTCATATGAAATGTATACTTTTTTTTAGAATTACTTTTAAAAATCAGAAAATAAAGTAATAGTAATGTAAAATAACTTACAGAAGTGTTTTTAGAGCATTAACTTCCTAGCTTCACAGAACTTTCTGCCCTCTGATTTCCCCAGGCTGTTTGGCTCTTGAGCCCCCTGATACAGACCCAGGATCACACCTTCCCGGATGTTGACTCTGCGCTCCTCCGTTCCTGACTACTTCAAGAATGTTTTTGGAACATTCCGGCAACCTGCCCAGAAAGTTCAAGTTTGTGGTGGGTGGAACAATGTTCTCCAGGATGCCAGTGGTTTCCCAGCCATGCCATTTTTGTCTTTTCGTTTCGTTTCAAAGATACTCTCACTTCGGCCTCTGAATTGGAACGCTGTCCACTTGAGGAGTGTCAGGAGCTGTGATAAAATCACATCCCTTGTAGATGAAAAGAACATTTTAGATTGTTTTATCGCATTGGAATCTCTCTTCCAGCAAGCCTTCACTCGGTACCTGTTTCTGGATATTTTTTTGTTTCTTTTTAATAACCATCTTTTTGTTTATAATTGTACAGGTGTTTTTGTCATTTTTACCTGGGGATCTGAGCAGATAGCTTGGCATGTAAGTGTGACATAGCCTTTCTTTTGGACACTGTTTATGCAAAATGAGTGAGTTCGGAGTTGCTGGGTCCGACAGTGGAACTAGGACCAGTGAGGGGCCTGGTGTCCAAATTCCTTTCCTGTCCTGACAGGCTCTGCTCGGCCCCTTGGTGTACCTGGGGTCGTCCTCAGGACTTTAAAGAGCAGGTCACCTGTAATGGGGACACTGATTTCCTGTTTAAACACTAAACTGTTAGCGAGCAGGATGAGATGAGTACAGGTGAAGTATTAGTGATTCCCACAGGAGAGGGGGATGGGCGGGCATGCTGTGTGAAATCTTGCTTTGCCTTGAAGCCCTTTGTGAAATAAAGTAACTTTGGGGCCATTAATTGTACAGTTGCTAGAATGAGTGATTTACATGGTGATATCAAGACTGTGTTCTGGAAGCTTGAGTTTACGGCTCTCCCTTTTCAAGGTGGTGATTTCAAGGTTGAGAAACAATTAGCCTTGTTCTAGGAAACATGGTGATTTCCACATTAAGCGTCTTTGAGAGGGGGTTCTGGTGGATTCACCAAAGTGAAACACCGGCAGTCACTTACCCAAATCCCAGAGGCTTTTGATTTGCTTGTTGTGTTTTTTGAAATCTTGACTTGGAAGTAAACCCGGAGGGGGAAAATAAGTAAATACACAGACTGCTAGAAATAAAATAGCATTGAAAATAAAAGCTTGTTTCTAAAAAGGACCTTTTGCTTATACATTTTTTACCAAGAAGCCGACTTCAATTTGAGTTGTTTAGAATTACCCTTTGGAAAACACCTAGGATTCACTTTGGAGGTTGTCAAAAAGACAAGAAGCGAGGTTAGATTTTTTTTACTTTTGGATTTTGCTAAATAAACGGCTGATAAGATTTGTGCAAGTATGGTTTTGACCCGCGCTGCTGCTAGAGGTCACGAAAGTGCCTGGGATTGCTGTGGGGTTTTGCTGAACCAGGGTCAAACCCATTTCTACTTTTGCTTAGCTAACATAAAGGAGTCCTTGGGTGGTGTAAGCGGTTAAGCGCTCAGCTACTAACTGAAAGGTTTGAGGTTTGAGTCTACCCAGAGTCACCTCGGAAGAAAGCCCTGGCAATCTACTTCTGAAAAATCAGCCACTGAAAACCCTATGGGGTGCATTTCTGCTCTGACACCAGTGGGGTTGCCATGAGTTGGGGTTGACTCAACAGCAGTTGGTTTGATATAATTTTACTTCATTGCTTCTGTAATTTATTCTCTTGTCAAGTCTGGGCCAAGTGTCACCTCATGGTCTGTGAGTAGCAGCGATTGTAGCTGCTGAATCGATCACCACTCGGGCCCGCATTGTTGTCTGAAAGAATAGATGGCCCAAGGTCTTGGCTGGCCCCTCCTCAAGGTGTGTGAATGGTGAGAAGGAAACCTTCCAGTTATTCACACCAGCGCTGAAGTCTCATTGTAGCGATGCAATTTGTTCATTATGGGGATGAATTGTACTCTAAGTATAGAATCCTGTCTTGAGGATTTTGTCTCAACTGTTACATTTTTCTCCCAAGAACTATTATGTTGTTGTTCGGTTTTTATGAGCAGCGTAGCTTTTCAGGATGTAGTAGGAGACTACCAGCATCCCTCGGTGGTGCAAACAGTGCATGTGCTTGGCCGCTAACTGAAAGGTTGGAGGTCTAAGTACACCCAAAGGCACCTTGGAAGAAAGCCCTGGCGATCTACTTCTGAAACATCAGCCATTGAAAGCTCTGTAGAGCACAGTTCTACTCTGATGCACATGGGGTTGCCAGGAGTCAGAGTCAACTCCACAGCAACTGGTTTTTAAATTCATAAATGCTCTCTGCTACTCGCTCTGTGGTGTGGAGTCTCGCATATAGAGAATGAAAGGAAGGCCACAGTTTGGAGTTCCTGCCCTTGCCATGTTTTGTTTGGGGGTTCCTCTGCCCTTGCCATCTTGAGAAGTAGAGCACATCTCTCCTTTTCGTGGGTTTCTCATTGTATGTCAGTTTCAGCTGCTGTAGGACAGTGGTTGGCAAACTACAGCCCACAGGCCAAGTCTGGCCCATCACTTTTTTTTATAAATAAAGTTTTATTGAAGCACACCCATGCCCATTTGTTTATATATTGTCTGTGGCTGCTTTTGTGATATACAGCAGCAGAGAGAAGTCATCGTGACACAGCCCATCTGGCCCACAGAGCTGAAAATATTCACTACATGGCCCTTTACAGAAAATATTTGCTGATCCCTGAGTTAGGAGATGACAGAGAATCTCAAGGTGTCCTTCCTGCTTAAAGCCACCCAGAGGTATTCGTCACCATGCCTTGTAGTCTTGATTATTTTTCTTTCCCTGCTCTATTGTTTTTTTTTTGGTGGTGAGAATATACACGACAAAACATGCTAATTCATCATTTTCCGCCTGTACAGTTCAGTGACATTGATTACATTCTTCAAGTTGTGCTGCCATTCTTGCCATTCTCACTATTCTCACTATTCGTTTCCAGATGATTCCACCACCATTAACTTAAACTCAATGCACCCTAAGCAAAAGCTCCTCCTTTATCCCCTCCCTCCCACTCCTGGTAATCACTGATAATCTTCGGTCCCAGTGCCTTTGTTTATTCTGTGTATTTCATGTAACTGGGATCATACAGTATTTGCCCTTTCTGCAACTGACTGACTTCACTCAGCATGATGTTTTCAAGGTTCATCCATGTTGTGGCATGCATCAGGACTTCGTTTCTCTTTATGACTGAATAATTTTATGTTGTATGGGCAGACCAAGTTGTGTTTATCCATCATCTGTTGATGACATTTCAATTGTTTCCACCTTTTGGCTATTGTGGTCTTGATTTTAACAAACATTTTCAAACACATTCTTCAAATTTGTCGAAAATCCGGCTGGCCGTTTTCAAGTGATGTGGCTAGTAGACCAAAACCCAATTTTATTTCTCTGGATGGATGGACGGGTGGTTGGGTGGGTGGGTTGGTGGGTGGATTGGATGGATGGATTGGATGCATTAGATGGATGGGTGGGTGGATGGATGAATGGATAGGGAAAGATCCCTCTTGGGCTCCCAGCGACTCCTCACAGCAGCTCAGATGAACGTGCCAATGAGCTCAGATCTCAGGAAGTAGTTAGATTTCAAAAGCGAGCACGATCATCATTAGTGATCGTTTTTCCTTCATTTCAACCACTTCATTATCTCCTTCTTAACCAAATGTGAATTTATGAAATACTCGGCAAGCTTCCTAATGTTTTATTGTTGACAATCCCCATGTTGATGAAGGACGTGTGTTTGTATATCAAGCAGAAGGCCTGCTATCAAACAAACAAAGACGAAAATTCTATTCGGGGCTTGTTTTCCCCATTCCCTTGATTACTAGCGCTATGCAGAGAAAGCACTGGATCTGCACTAAGCCCCTTTCTTCTCATGAGAGTTCCTAGAAATCAGAGTGTTGGTAATCCCAAGTATTCCTGGAATAGAAATCGGGCAAAAGGGTCAATACCAGTTGCTGTTGAGTGGATTTGACTCCTGGCAACTCCACGTGTGTCTGAGTAGGACTGTGTGCCATAGTTTTTGATGGCTGATTTTTCAGATGCAGATCACCAGGCCTTTCTTCCAAGGCGCCTCTATGTGGACTCAAACCTGCAACCTTTCTGATAGCAGCTGAGTGTGTTAACCATTTGCACCCAGGGACTCCAACCAGTTGCTGTCAACTCATAGCTGATTTTTTGGAAGTAGATCACCAGGCCTTTTTTCCTTTCTGTTAGCAGCTGAGCACTTTACCGTTTACCATCCAAGGACACAGCACAGGCACCCCATAATTTTTATCAGTGTCGCTATTTTTATTAAGAGACCTGTTCAGAAGGGTTTTGTGAGATTGGAACAAGATAGCCAAGTGTGTGGCTTGCAGTAGATACTCAGCGTCACCTGGGCTGATGGTATGGCTTTGAGGCTTTAAAAAAAAAAAAATCTGTGCAGTCTTGGAAAGTCCCTGAGAGTGCTGGGAAGGTCTTTGTTTCTGGATGCTCCATGTTAAGGTCTTTGTGTTGTAGTGGGCTAAATAATGTCCCAGGTTTTGTGGGGTCTGAAACTTAAATAATTTGCAGAGCCCTCTTCAAAAAAAAAACAATAAAAATTCCAAATATAAAATTACTACAGGACCTCAGAACGGGTCTGTGAAAGTGAGCTTCAGTTGCTTCCTGCTTTGTCCACTGCCTTTGGCAAGAAGTCTCCAGGTAGGGCAGCTCTAGTGAAGGTTTATCCAGCCACACACCATCCTCAGTATGTCAGCCCATCCTGTCACTGGCTTTTCTCGTGGTCTCAACATGGTTGCTTCATTCCAGCCATCACATCCAGCATCCCATTGTGGCCACATCCAGAATGAAGAGGCTATCTCTTCATTGAGTCTGTTTTTGAAAGCATGGAAACCTCCTCCAGAACCACCCCCTCCTCCAACAGGTGTCCGTTTGGGTCTCATTGGTCAGAACTAAGTGACAAGCCCACTTTTAACTGTTCCCTGGGAAGGCAGTGTTATGGCCACAATTGGATGAGACTGGCAGGATTCCCCCCTCGAGCAGGTGGCAGGGAGGTCGGGGAGTGGGTGTGCGTCTCAGCTGCCCAAGTAAACATGAGAATGTCTTCATTACCCGTTTGTGAGCTGAGTACAAGTGTTGATGGCTGTGACCCAGTCATTTATCTTCTGAGCATAGCCCCTAAGGACAGGGACAATGGGAATCTTGTCTTAGTTCTTGGAAATATATATGCACAGCAATTGCCATTCTGGTATTATTTATATGAGAGAGAATTTGGAAATTATCGGAATGTCTAACCTTTGGGGTATGGTCAAGTAAACGGATGCATCCTGTGGATACCTGTGCTGTCCAGTGCCACCATGGCCACTAGCCCCACGTGGCTGTTTAAATGAACTAAATTAGCCCAGTCCCTCACAGCAACCGCATTCCCAGTAGCATTTCATGGCAGGAAGTTCTAGGGGCAGGGCTGTGTCTAAAGCAGAGGGCCTCTAAGGGCTGTTAGGAGTTTTCAGTGGCTGCTGCAACAAAAGACCATAAACTCAGTGGCTTAACATTCTGGAAGCCAGAAGTCCAGATTAGATGTCCCTGGGCTAAAATCAAGGTGTTAGCAGGGCTAGTTCCTTTCTGGAGGCTCCAGGATAGAATCCGTTTTCTTCCCTTTTCAAGCTTCTGGAGGTCATCCATGTTGCTTGGTGCATGGCCTTGCTCTCTGTCTTCAAAGTTGCAACATTGGTGGAGTCTTTCTCATGACACCATCTCTGACCCTGACTCTTCCTGCCCTGTTTAAGGACCCTTGTGGGGACATTGGGTCCACCCAGATAACCCAGGATTATCTCCTCATCTTAAGGTCAGCTGGTCAGCACCCTTAATTCCATCTGCTACCTTAATTCCCCCTTGCTGTGTGAGGTAACATACCTTCTAGGACGTGGACATCTTTGTGAGGTCCTTATTCTGCCAACCACAGGAGAAGATAGTAAATGTTTTCACACACACATCATAAACATGCACCACACACGTACACACACACACAGCAGGTGTGTATCACATGCCACACACGTCACACATCACACGACATGAATACGGCACATGTGCTGTACGTGTGTCTTACCACATGCTATACATGTCACAGCACACATGACACACACACGGCGCCTACACGCATATCACCTAGCTCAGACCCTTTTCAGATCGAAGGACATCTGCTGGCTCACTTCTCCTGACCTTCCCTGTGGAAACTCACCGAGATAAGAACATCTTGTAAAGCCACTTGGCGTTGATGTGACACTCTAGTTCTGAGATTCGCTTTTAGAAAAGTGAGCTGTAGTTGCCAGCATGGTGGAGGGAGGGAGGGAACATTGGGGGATGGTGTGGTTCCCAGTTGGATGACTTGCCATCCAAACTGCACTCTCATCTGCGAGTCTGTGACCTCAGTAACCTTGGAGAGTGAACGACAGGGCATGGGTGGTTCAGGAAAGGCCTGGAGGAATTTTGTTAAATGGCTCTGTTCTGTTTGTGCATGGCGGGGGGGGGGCATGTGTTTGTATGCATGTGTGGCACATGTATGCTGTGTGGCATGCATTGGTGTGTGGATGTGAGTGGCATGTGTGATGTTTGTGCTGCATGTGCAGTGTGGTGGATGTGTGTGGTATTGTGTGATGTGCGGTGCACATGTGTGATAAGTGCGTGCGTGGCATTGTATATGTGTGATGTGTGTGTGTTTCTGTGGTATGTGTGGTGTATGTGGTGTGTGTGATGCAATATGTGTGGTGTGCGCAACCTATTGCAGTGCCTGGCTTGCTGCTCCCTCTTGAACTGCACTTTGTTTAATAAGCTCAGAGAAGCCACACTTACTGTGCCAGAGCTTTTATATTTGCTGCCTCTGTTCTGGAACAAAACCCAAGGCCACCAGGAGTATTGGCATCACCCCTGCTGTCCCCATATGAAATGGAGACTAGGCCCGGGGGAGCTGGTGTGGACCCCAGCCCCCTGGCCCCTCTCCTTCATCTGCTCTGCTGCCTTCCCATCTCGGGTCCTTCTGGAAAGTTGGGGGCCAGCTGTCTTTGGCTCAGCATACCACCATTTGGGCTTGCATCAGGTGCTGACGAGGGTTCGGTGAGCTGATGTGATGCCTAGTGCATAGTAGGTCCTCAGGAGACACCATTTGCTGCTGCAGCCCCTCCAGAACCCCTTGGCTCAAGAGGTATTTCAGAAGTCAGAACTTGCTGGGTTTCCAAGAGGTAGTGTGATGCCTGGGTCCCTGGGTGGCACAGTTTGCGCTGAACTACTAATCGAAAGGTTGGTGGTTTGAACCCACCCAGGAGCACCATGGAAGAAGAGACCTGATGATCTGCTTCCATAAAGATTACAGCCAAGAAAACCCTGTGGAGCTCAGTTCTACTCTGACACACATGGGGTCACCATGTGTTGGAGTCACGGCAACTGGTTTTACTATTTAGGCAGGAAAATGGAGAGGACACGGGGATGGCTTGATTCATACAGTGTCCACTGGGGCCAGGACTAAACGGGGCTTCTTGACTCACATGTTGGCGTCTCACTCAGGTGTCTGGGGCTCCATCATCACTGTTGGATGGGTTTCTTCGTTCTCCACGGTGGCCCAGGGCCCCTCCCTCTCACTATGTGGCCCCTCCAGCAAAGTCGTCAGACTTCTGACATGGCAGCTTGGTACTCCCAAGACTGCGGAATCAGAAGCTGCCAGGCATTCTCCTCCTCTTTTTTTTTTTTTAACCACTTTATTGAGATCTAATTCACATACCATAAAGTTTACCTGTTCAATGTGTACAATTCATTGGGTTTTAGTATGTTCAACAGGTTGTGCAACTGTCACCATAATCTAATTCCAGAACATTTTTATCACCGTAAAAAGAAGCCCCATACCCATTAGCAGTCACTCCTCGTTTTCTCCTCCCCCCATTCCCTAGACAACCACTAATATACTCTCTGTCTCTGTGCATTTGCCTGTTCTGGACATTTCATTTAAATGGAATCATATAGTATGTGTCCTTTTGTGTCTGGCTTCTTCTAGTTAGCATAACATTTTCAAGGTTCATCCATATGTAGCATGAATCAGTACTTCATTCCTTTCTATGGCCAAATAATATTCCATCGTAGGAGTAGACCACATTGTGTTTATGCATTCATCTATTAATGGACACTTGACTATTGTGAAGAGTGCCACTATGAACATTCATGTACAAATCTTTGTGTGCAGATATGTTTTCCATTCTTTTGGGTTGATTCCTAGGAGTGGGGTTGCTGGGTCATGTGGTGACAGCCAGGCCTTCTTATGTCAGTAGCCTGGAATGGCCAGAGCCTTGCTTCCACTGCATTGTCTTGGCTGAAGTGAGTTGCAGGCCCAACACAAAGTCAGGGGAGGGAATGACACAAGGGCCTGAATATCGAGAGGTGGTGTTCATTGGGGGTCTCGTGCAAAGTTTTCAGCATGGAACCTGACACACATTAGGTGCTCAGTAAATGTTACTCCCTGTGATGCTTTTTATTACTAAGATTAATAATACAAAACCAGGGCAGTAAGGAAAACTCAAACTGTTAAGACTCAAATCTGCATCCACCCTCAATATTTAGGGATCATTGGCACAGTCTCAGATTGGCGTGGTACCAGATCCACATGCTGAGAACTGTGAAGGCTACTAGAGGTCAGAGACTGACCCCAGCACTTGACAAGATGCATAGGAGGCAATACATGTTCATTTTAGAAAATATGAAACTAAAGGAAAAAACGTAAGAGGAAAATAAAGTCACCTGTCCTTTTACCCACAGAGATAACTACTGTTAATATTTTGCTTTCTCCCCTTCAAGTATTTTTTCTGTGTCACGTATATAAGCGTATATATTTTTTGTATGCATTATATGCATAAGCATATAAACAAGACTTCCTGCAAACCCAAGTAGAACACTGAACCCCATCCCCCATCTCTAGGTACTTCTGAGATAACTGACCTGGTTGAATGAGTTTATATATGAGAAAGTGCTTTTTAAAAATCCCCACGAGACTGTTAAAATCAGGACAAACATATGGGTCAAAGTGAGGTGGTAGGTTTTGTCACATTTATTTTTCCTATTAATCACCAGAGCCCTTACATGGCTTATTAGGGGAAGTCCAGTAATTTCCCCTCCTTTAAAGTGCCCAGGACTCCTAGGGACTTACTATGGCTAGAATGACAACAGCTGCTTCTGACTTCAGGCTAATATATTCCCACTGTTGCTCCTTGCAACCACCTGGTGTTGCTGTTGAAGACTGATCCCACGCAGTTTTGGTAGCCAGCCTGCTCACTGCTTCCTTGTCCAGATTCTTGCATGGTCCATAGTGTTTCGTCAAGGGAGAAAGATCCCACTCCTTCAGTGCTAAACTTGACTCTGGATGCTCTGCTTATGGGCTCCTGAAACTATCTTCTAGCCACTTCCCAAAGCAAGAGCGAGTCATGGACTTAAAGCCACTTGCTCTTCCTTACTCCTTAGGGGCTGCCTCACTAAGAGATGAGACAGCTTTTTCAGGGGTGTTCCAAGCACAGAAGGTCTTCTCCTCTCAGGACAGTGGGGCCAAAACTCTCTGTACCCAAATAATTAAGGGACATATCCTTGGGGAAGAACCATTACTGCGAGAGGACTTAACCTTGCATCTAACCTTTGTGTAACTGACAGGAGTCATTTCAAGTGTCTCTTCTTTGAAGCAGAAGGTCGGCTAGGTGAACTGCAGTGTCTGCCCTGGACCTAGGATGAACCGTTCACACTTTCAGGACTCCTGTTCACTGCCTATGTTATTTAATCTTTACCATTGCAAAGCACCCTTTTATAGACAATGTTAAGGGAATAAAATTATGTATTTATATATTATTGTGTGCACACACGTGTGCCTGCATGCATATATAGTATTATATTTTATAAAATATTTCACTCATTAAAGAAACGTTTATTGAAGCCCCCTGTGTACCCAATGTCCCTGGGTGGTACAAATGGTTTGCGCTCAACTAGTAACAAAGGTTGGAGGTTCAAACCCACCCAGTGGCACCATAGAAGGCCTGGAAATCTGCCTCTGTAAAGATTACAGCCCTGTGGAACAGTTCTATTCTGACACACATAGGGTCACCGTTGAGTCAGAACTGACTTGAGAGCAACGAATTTGGGTTTGTGTGTGTGCCAGATGTATGTAACTGAAATGTGTGTATATGTATGTGTGTGTATACAGTTGTCATGTATTTGAGAACACATTCATTTACTTACTCCACAGATATTTAATAAGCACTTTTTGAAGTAGATCGCCAGGCCTTTCTTCCAAGGCGCCTCTGAGTGGACTGGAACTGCCAACCTTTCTGTTAGTAGCCAAGCGTGTGAACCATTTGTACCACCCAGGGGCTAATAAGCACTTTTCTGTCTACTGGGGATACTGAGACGAGTCAGTACCCTCATGGAGCTCATAGTTATATTAATGCTGCTTCTTAGTTTAAAAAGAGCAGGTAAGTTGAGTACTTTTCATAAAACAACCTGACCTATGCAAAACATTATTTCTGCGTAATCCTTGACTTTTCAAAAAGATGTACCTCTGAGTTGGAAATTCAGAGAGGCAGGACCGCATATGCTTGGGGACAGGCTTGTTTATTTTGCTTATCTGAAGTGAGATAAAGAGTATCTCCAAATGGGCCAGCTTCCAACTTAGGCCATATATACAAAGCACCTCATTTTAAAAGAGAGAGTGTAAATTATTTTGCCCGTGTTTATTGTCTGCTACAAGAGAGATGTAGAACTTTTCACATGTGCAGAAGCAGCAGTTTTTGCAAATAAAAAGGCTTCCCGGAAGCATGACAAATGCAAGACTAACAGGTGTAGCACAGATTGAAGGCGCACGCGTGGTTCTCATCAGCTGCCACCCTCCTGCTTTAAACCTAGGTCTTCCTGTAACAACAACGAAAGTTATTTCTCCTGAGGCTAGGGTTGATAATCCTCCTTTCCACCCCTTCTCGTAACAGCATTTCTTACAGAGGTTCCACAGAGAGGCGAGACAGCCAGCAATTAAAGAAGGCACCTGGAAGGGGTAAAAGGGAGGAGCCCTTAGACTTGACATCAGCAGTTCTGGGTTTGACCCAGAACTGTCTGGGTGATCTTGGGTCTGTTACCTCCTTTGGTTCTGAGAATGACAGTTTCAGTTTTTTGGCACCCCCAAGCAAAGCAGGGTGGAAGGGGCCTGTCAACCAGCAGTTAACTGCTCCCCAGGGGGCATTTGGCAATGTCTGGAGACATTTGTGGTTGTCACAACTTGGGGGCGGGGAGAAGGGGGGAGGAAGGATGCTACTGGCATCCAGTGGGTAGAGGCCAGGGATGGGGCTAAACATCCTGCAAGGCACGGATGGTCCCAAATGTCAGTTGTGCCGAGGTGGGAAAACCCAGGTTTGCAACCTTGGGGTCAGCTCAAGGGGGCTGGTGTTTCAGCTTCCCGAGCTCTGGTGGCAGCTCCTCCGAGGCGCGTTGTCCTTTCCCGTTTTCGCGTCGTAAGGGACGGACCCTCGCCTCACACCCACGCCGCACTAGGAGAGGCGGGGACGCAGCCCTATTCAAAGCCTCTCAGGTGACCCTGCTGCACGCAAAATCGCAACGGGGACGTCTGTGGCCCCGCGCCCCCCAGAAAAATCGCCCGAAAGGCTCGGACGGCTCCCGCCGACGCTCGCGACGCCCGTCATCTGCGCCCTGAGACCCGGCTCTCGACCACCTGACCTGCCCAGCGCCCTCGCGGCGGCCGCCTGGCGCGCCGGGTTCAAGAACTCGGCGCGCGCGCGCGCAGACGGCGCGTTTCCGTCGGAAGCTGCCGGCGCGC